CGCTAAGTTTTAAATGCATTAGATTCTAGATAACAAAATGTAATATTTGTTCAGCATAATGTCTAAGTTTAAAGGTTACGAGCATCACACATATACAATCCAAAGTACAGATCAAGCCCTGTACAGCCTATTAAACACTGAGGGACTTAATAGGGGATTTAAAACGTTTGTGGGAAAAACTGATTGAAAATCGTTTCCACAAAATTATTGAACCCCCGGTAGAATAGTCTGTCATAACAAGTGTCCTCTATTTTGTGAGGCAGACACCACAGGGATAACAATGACGCGTCGTAATTAGGTGTAGAAAACACAAAACAAAATAAATATTAAGTATTTCAACAGTCTCAAATTATTGTTGCCTTTTGAGAAACATTCCAAATCTAAACGGTGAGACAGCAATCTTTGAAATAAGAATGAAAGAAACTGCTTTAAAATGTGAACATAAACTAGGGCGCTAATAACCAAGAGTCCAAGAACGAAGAAAACATTCCAAAATGGTGGTGATGATTGTACAGCTCCTCTTGATGTGACTGAACTATTGAATTGTTGGATTTGTGGAGGATGTCAATGATACCGAAAAAATAAACCACTCTGAAGCCTAATGCAAAACTTAATTGCACGGAAAATAGCATCAATCAAACACTTAGAAAATATAAAACGGCATTTGCTAAAGGCTATCGCGTGAAGCTTTACATGGAATTGTCAGTCTTTTAAAAGACTAGTCTTATTGGACTGTAACTCATATACCGTAAAATTTGCTTAATAATCAGTACGAATTGCGTAACCCTAAACACAATTTCAGATCATCTTCTTCCCTGTACTCGTTAGCTCCCAATTTACCCCCAACCTTCCCTGTCATTGGCCTAGTAATTATCAATGTATTCTCCATAGATGTCCCTCTCCTGGATTACATATACAGGAAAATCACACAAAGCACACACACACACACACACAAAACGACAATGACATGTCAAAAACCAAGAAAAACCTCAAACACAAAGTAGAAACATCAGCTCAAATCTTAAATGGGTCAAGAGGGAGATCGAATGATATTACCTTTTACTATGACATCTGCCATCATCGACAATGCTGTCTTAGAGCAAGCCACATCCCTAGCTATGGTCAGAGGGGATTCACCGGAGGCTTAATCCAGGTGGTGACCCTGGATTGGGGGCTTCCACTGCCAAGTGCAGCATTATGCCTCCTCACGGGGGCTGGTGTGCCAAGCTCTGTGGCCAGGAATGTAGAGAGCAGGGCTTACATAAACTTGCTACCAGGTCCTCAAGTTTCCCACAGAAGCCTAATACAAAAGCTGACTGCAGGAAAATTAACATCCATCAAAAGCCTGAAACACGTCACACAGAATTTGATAAAGGCGATTTCATGAAGCTTTATTTGAAATGGTCAAGGGCTTTTTAAAAAAAAGAATACCTTTATTCGCATAGAACTCACACAACGTCCAATTAATTGCTTAATCAAATTAAGAAGAGTTGCGCCATCACCTTTGCCACAATCAACTTCAGAACACCTCCTTTCTGTCCTCGTTAGTAATGCCCAATTGTCCCACAACCTCCCCCTTCCATGGGACTAGGGAATTATGAGTGTAATTCCTAAAGCTCTTCCTTATCCTGGACTGAGTCTACAGGAAATCACACAGCACACACACATACCAAAAAACCCAGCAGTGACCATTCAAAACAGAAGTACCTCAAACAATATTATATGGAACAAAGTTTAAATGGGTCACAAGGGAGATCAAACGGCAAGGTGTTACCTGTTCACCTAACTACCTCTGCCATCAACTTGCCATTGTTCTCTCTCTGGTCACAAGGCACCTTCCTAGACTATGGTCAGAGGGGATTCGCCGGAGGCTTAATCCATGTGAGGACCTGGGCCTTCTCTGTCATCTAGCCTTGTGCACATCAAGTGATCACTATGTATCTTGGAATGAGAAAGTGTCCAAGATTGTAGCAGAGAGCAGTGTCGTTAAAATAAGAGTCATTTCTCCCGAAGATGCAAAGCACTTCCACTTATCCCTTTGAATTCACACCCTTCCTATGAAAAAATCATTAACGTACAACAATGTCTATGCTGCGAGTTCAAAAAAGTGGGGTGAAGAGCGACCAGAGGCTTTCCGTACCCCTTGCACTCCTGGGGTTCTTCTCGGTAAAATACGGGGTTTCACCACCTTGAAAGCTGTCCCTGCTTCCTGACATTTGTAAGACCCCTGCCCCAGCCCCTCTGTTGTGGATACTTAATTACGTCGCAGGTGTGAGGAAATTCTACACGTGTTCCCACACGGCTTTCATTGAGAAGACAACTGCCCACGGTGAGTCGTTTCATGCATACAGGGATGTAAGGAATCCTTAAAGGCTCTTCCGTGTTCTAGACATGCATGACAGTCTCTCTCCACTGTGAGTCTACCGATGTTAAGTGAGGGGTGCTGTGTCACAAAGGCTCGCCCACCTTCCTCGCACTTTATAATAGACCTCACATCATGGTGAATCCTGTTACACTTAGTGAGGGCTGAGGGCTGACGGAAAACCTTTCTGCCGCACCTCACATTTGTAAAACTTCACACCACTGAGTCCTTCTACGCACCGCAAGGTGTGAGGAAGACTTCAAAGCTTGCCCACACTGCCGACATTCACAAAGCCTCTCTTCACTGTGAATTCAGTTAGGCATGGAACCCAGCTGAAGGCCTGTCCACATTTCTTAACATTTCACAATGCCTCTCTCTTGCACGTGATGAGACAGGCAGCCAGGGAGACTCAAGGTTTTGCCACTGTGCTAAATTATATTCCCAAGGCCTTTCTCCACTGTCAGTGAATAGATGTGCAGTGAGGATACTGTCCAAAGGTTTTCCCACATAGCTGACATTCACTGGGACCTTACTCCATGGGGTGTTCTAAGTACAGCAAGCTGTGAGGGATCCCTAAAGGCTTTCCCAACCGGTTTACACAAACAACTCTGCTCCCACTGTGAGCCCAGCTATGCTCCATGAGCTTCGTGAGCTGATTAAAGGCTCTGCCACATTCCTTACAATCATAGGGCTTCTCTCCAGTGTGCGTTCGCCTGTGTTTACGAAGGTTATCTGAACGACTGAAGGTTTTGCCACATTCCTTACATGGATAAGGTCTCTCCCCAGTGTGAATCCTTTGATGTTTAGTAAGGTTTGAAGGCAGTCCGAAGACTTTCCCACATTCCTTACAGGCGTAGGGCTTCTCTCCACGGTGCAGTCTGATATGCATAAGCAGGTAGGAGGAGCTAGTGAAGCTCTTCCCACATTCCTGACAATCGTACGGCTTCTCCCCACGGTGAACTCTCAAATGGAGCGTGAGGGAGGAGGAGCTAGTGAAGGCTTTGCCACATTCCTTGCATGCGTAAGGCCTTTCTCCGCTATGATTCCTTAGATGTTTCGTGAGATTTGACGGATGTCCGAAGGCTTTGCCACATTCCTTACATTCGTAAGGCCTTTCTCCCCGGTGAAGTTTTCGATGGAGAGTCAGGTACGAGGAACTAGAGAAAGTTTTCCTGCATTCTGTGCATTCATAAGGCCTCTCCCCGTGGTGAATTCTCACGTGGCGGGTGAGGTAGGAGGAAGTGATGAAAGTCTTGCCGCACTCCTTACACGCATAAGGCTTCTCCCCGGTGTGAGTCCGAGTGTGTTTGTGAAGGGTATCGGAAACACTGAAGGTTTTCCCACATTCCTTGCATGCGTAAGGTCTCTCTCCGCTGTGAATTCTCAGGTGTTTAATGAGGTTTGAGGAATGTCCAAAGGCTTTCCCACATTCCTTACATTCATAAGGCTTCTCTCCACTGTGAAGTCTAACGTGGATGGTAAGGTACGAAGAACTAGTGAAAGTTTTCCCACATTCCTTGCATTCATAATGCCTCAT